CTCAGTCCTTGGGCGGCGGCAACGGCTTGTGCGGTCCCATGGGCGAGGCGAGCGGCGAAAGCGCCTGCCCGCGCTGCGTCGCACACAGCCGGCTCTGCGCATCGGTGAGCTCGTTGAGAATCTCGACCTTGCGATTGGCGTCGTTGCGACGTTCGGCATCCATGCGCTCGATCAGCACCGCATACGCGTGGTTCGCATCGCGCAGCTGCGCCTCGAGTTCGCCCGCCCGCTCGGCGCGCTGCCGGATCGACGCCGTGTGCGCCAGCTGCCGCTCGAGCTCGCGCACGCGCTCCACCAGCTGCGGCACATCCATACCGAGTGTGATGGTGCGTTTGATCATGCCGCTCGCCCCGGCTGCCGACGCGCCTTCGCCACCGCCAGCGCGCTGCACCGAGAACGACGACTGCGACGTGCCCGCCACACTCGTCGCCGAACTCGGCAGCCCAAGGTGCGTCGAGCTCGGACTGCTGCCGGAGCGCAACGACGTCGAGTCCGACGCCTCGCCCTGGCCCGAGCCATCCGCACTCGAGCTGTTGCCCGCACTGGCACCCGCTCCACCCTCTTGGCGCGTATCTGGCGCGGCTCGCGCAGGAGGCCGCGCGTCCGAGCCCGGCGCGGCAAACGGCGAAATGTACCGGATCGAGGGCGACGACATCGCGCTGTAGTTCGATCGCGTCGGCGACGGCAGCACGTCCATCCCGGACGGCGAACGAGGCGGCACGAGCGATGCACTCGCCGGCAGCTGTAGCCCTGCCACGGCTCTTGGGCTCGCCTTGTCCACAAACAGCGAGCGTATCGACTTGCTCGATCCCGCGCGTCCGATGCTCTTCGGCAGGCTGAACACGTTCGACTCGCCTCCCTTGGCCGGAGATGTCGAGAGGCCAAGCATCGAGTCGCTCGCCGGCACCAACCCCGACGGCGATGGCGGCGCCCGCAGCGCTGACCGTGCCACCTCCAGCTGCTCGCGCGCCTCGGCCAGCTCGGCCTTGAGCTTGCTCTCGCGCTCCGCCTGCTCCTTGACTTTGGCGGTGAGCGTCGTGACTCGCGAAACAAGCGCCTGCTGCACTCCTGCGCCCTCGGCCTGCTTCTGCAAGGCCGCACCGTTGCTGTGCGTTTCCGTGCCCTGCTGCTGCTTGTCCGACCTGGACTCGAGCGCCAAATCGATAACGGCACGGCTGATGGCCATCGTGCTCCGAATGCGCTCAGTGGCGGCTTCGAGTTCAGACTGCAGCTCTGTGGCGCCCAGCGCCATCCGCGTCGAGCTGGGCGATCTCGATACTGTCGGGCTTGGCAGAGGAGCATCGCGCGCCTCGAAGGCCTCTCGCAGAGCATGCAGGTCCGCCGAGCCCTTGGCAGCAGCCGACAAGTCGGGGAGAAGCGCACGCAGCGCCTCGACCGAGCGCAGGCAGGCTTGCAGCGTCGCTGCTTCGTCTTCGGGCCGCATCTCTGACGATGTTTTGCGGCCCCCGCCGAATCGATCGATGAGGTTGCCGACTCCTTTCTTCGGCAGTGGCACGGTGGAGACCATCGGCGAGACGCCCTTGCTCATTCGCACCGGCGCTGCGTCGGTGGATGTCGAGGGTGAAGCGACAATCGTTGCGCTCTGAAGCTTCTTTTCCAGCTCGCGCTTGAGGGCCTCGAGGTCTCCGAGCTTGGACTCGAGCTGCTCCACCTCCTTGCGTCTTTGGCGCTCGAGCGAGTCGATCTGTTCGCCGAGTGCGCGGAGCTCTTCTTCGAGCTGGGTGGCGCGCTCCTCTCCCTGGCGCTTGCAATTGTCCTTCTGTTCGGTGAGACTGCGCACCTCGGCTTCCAGGCGCCGCACCTTCTCCGTGTCAACGGGCGACGGCTTTGCTTGTGTCTTTGTTCGCTCGTTTGACTGCAAAAGTGCCTGGAGGCGCTGGACCTCAGATTCGAGGTGTTGAACCTTGGCCTCGGTCGCTCCATCTTTCGTTCCGTTGACTGCCGGCGAGGAGATATCCGACGCTGCCATGCTCTCACGCGACGAGTTGTGCGTGTTCGCTCGGGCGAGTTCCAGCTCGAGATCTCCAAGATGCGTCTCCAGGCTCGACAGCAGAGCCGCAATGTCTTGACCCGCCGTCTTCTTCTTCTTTGCGACGCCGGAGGCGCCTTTCTTGATCATCTCGAGAAGGTCGTCCATCTCCTCGCGGCCCTCGTGCTTGCCCAGCATGCGCGCACATCGCTTGTCGGACTCCTGCAGACGCTGCTCGGCGCTCTCGAGCCTACGCTCAAAGGCGTGGAAGAGCTCGTCGCGCTCTGCCATGATGCGGCGCTCGGCACCGACGGCGAGCTCGAGCTCCTTGAGCTTGCTGTCCGCGTCGTCTGCGCGGGACCGCGATTGAGTGGCTTGCTTTTGCGCTTCCGAAAGCTGCTTGTCTACAGTGGCGCGTGCCTGCTTCTCCGCGTCGAGCTCGGTGCGCACTTGCTCGAGCTTCTTTTCGAGTTCGACTATCGCACTGGCGCGGCTAGATGCCAAGGTGTTTGCAGCATCATGAGCCTTTTGAGCATCCTGCAGCTCGGCCTGGAGTGAAGCGAGGCCTTGATTGCCTTGGCTGAGCTGTCGAGTCGACTCTTTCTGAACGTCGGTCAAGTTGCGCTTGTGCTCTTCGGCCGTGCGCTCCGCTGCGTCGGCGCGAGTGCGAAGGGCTTTGATCTCGTCGTCTTTTGTGTCGAGGCGCGACTGAAGCTCGGCGACGGCGCGCGTACTGGCCATGGACTCGGCTTTGGCGTTGACGAGTGCATCTTCCTTTTCGAGGTCGCGACTGCGGCTTTGCTCGATTTGCTTGTGCATTCTCTGCTCGACCTCGGCCACGGCTGCGCGGACGGCGGTGGCTTGTGCCTCGCGTGCCGTCTCGTCGTGCTTTCGAAGCTGCTCCTGCAGAGAACGCAGCTCTCCGACGGCGCTTGCGCGTTCGCGCGACTGCTCCTCGAGCTGCTGGGTGAGACGGTCTGAAGTCTCGTCGCGACGCTGGGTTGCGTCTCGGCTGGCACTCAAGTCTTGTTCGAGCTTGCGGACGACTTCGCGCTTGCGCTCGAGCTCTTCACCGAGACGACGGAGCTTGTCAGGGGCGGATGCGTCGAGGAAGCTGAAGCCGCTGATGGCGCTGAGGTCTGATTCGAGACGGTTGTGGCGGAGCGGGTCTTGGGGACCGCGCGGAACGTAGGGCTCGTCGGCGGAGGGCTGGTAGCGATGACCTGCGTCGCGGTAGCGGGAGAGGCCGACGGCGGAGGCGGAGGCGGAAGGGGCAAGCGACTCGAAGGAGGCGGAAGTGGTGAGGAAGGGGAGCTTTTCTTCGATGACCTGACGGTCGGACTCGAGGTGGACGACGCGCTCCGAGAGGGTGGCGGCTTGATGCTCGAGGATCTTGCGACGGAGCCAGCTGGCGCGCTCTGACCATTTGAAGAGCTCGTTGGCAACTTTGTCGACCTTTGCGGTTGCTAGGATGACATCCTCGTCTGCCTTTGCCTCGCTGGCGGAGACGCTGAGGGCGCGGCTGCGTGCGGCGAAGGAGAAGGATGAGGAGGTTGCAGAAAGAGGCGGCGCGGCGCTGGAGCTGGCTGCTGGCGCGGACGAAAAGCCTGGCGAGGTGGGCGAAACTGCGAGGGAAATGGAGGAGGTGGGTGAATGCGGGGATGCAGCTGTCCTGCGGTGGGCTTTGCGGAGCGCGACGGCGGCATCGCGGATCTTGATTTCGACCTTGAGCTTGGAGCGCAGATTCTGGACCTTGCGCTCGACGTGCTTGAGCTCGCGCTTTGCCTCTGCCACCTGTTCGAGACTCATTGTGCCGTAGTCCTGGCAGTCGACGCGGGTCTGATCAAGCAAGAGGCGCTGGAGCATGTCGTCACGGTTGGCAGGTGCCAAATTGGAAAGACCAAAGGTAGATGGTGCGCCGACGGAGCTGATGACGGAACCTGCGTACGAGGAGGGCGGAGCATGCTTCCAGCCCGAGGCATGCAGAAAGCCGGCATCGTTTGCTTTGAGGGACGACGAAAAGGGAGTCGGATGTGCGTTGGATGCAAAGGATTGGATGGAAGGGTTGGACGAGTGAAAGGCGCTGGCTGGTGAGCGTGATGATGGTTTGGTGGCGGAGAGCGATGCGGCGAGGCCGTGCTTGTTGGAAGTACTGCTGGGGAAGGCGGACGATGGCGCCGGAGACGGGAAGGAAAAGGAGGCAAGGGAGCCGGCCATGTTGTCCAGGGGCGCATAGCTCTGGCCCCACGTTGGCTCGGAGTTTGGTGGCAAGGAGGTGGATATGGTCAAGGGCTCGGACGGACCGCCGAGCCTTGGAGTGGAAGCGGCCTGACTTGCGCGACTGCCGAGATAAGGCGATTCGCGTGCTTCTGGCACCACTTCGAGCGAAGGGGCGACTTGATGATGGATTTGATTGGAAGCAGGCGTGGTGCGAGTCTGGATACCAAGGCCGAACCTGGGCGCGTTGGTGGGCGCTCTGGATGCGGTGGAGGAAGGTGGTGTGACCTGAGGCTTGCTGCGCTCGGACGAATGGGCGAGCGAGGAGACTGCGCTCTGGTAAGAGGAGGAGTGAGACATCTCGGAGGCATGACGGTCGGTGGCGCCCATGTCGTTGGCAGGCTGGTCGGAGCCCCGACGCGAGGTGGATTGGTTGGAGCCGACGTGGAGGGATTCCGAGGAGAAGGAAGGCAGACGCGATGCGGAAGCGCTTTGGGAGCGTATGGATCCGTCGGCGGAGAACGAGTCGGAGAAGAACGACTTTGGCTCGACGAGGTCCAGCGCGAGGCTTTGGTTGGGTGAAGAGCGTTTTGCGGCAGCGAATGCGGGAGAGCGCAAGGTGGCGTCGAAGCTGGTGGTGACGGTGGTGTGGGATTGATCTGCGACCGAGATGGGAGATGATTGGTATTCGGTTGCGTCTGTGCTGCGGAAGCTAAGACGGTCTAGGGAGGAGGAGGGGGTGATGTTGTCGACGTCCCTCTTTGACTTTGTGATTCGGACGGGACGCGCTGCGGCGGCGGTGCGTTCTACCTTGCGAATGGTTGCGGTGCTCGCCTTGGAGATGGTGGCGGAGGCGAGGATGCCCGAGGATACGGTTGCGGTGCTCATAAAGCTCTCTGCGCGTTCGAGGCGAGTGGGAGGCTGTGGCAAGGCGGCTTCGGATGCGGATGCGGTGCGGAGGGAAGACTCGGGCCATCTGGAAGACGAAGACGAGGGGGAAGAGGCAGGGTCGAGGGTGGCATTGAGCGGCGAGATATGGCGGGCGCCTTGTTCGAGTCTGGAGGAGATGAGCTGCGTGGAAGCATCTGGCCATCCTTGGTCTGGTGAATGAAGGCGTGCCATGCTGCTGCTGATGCTCGCCACGTCCAACATGGGCGAGACGGCGTCGGCGATGAAGGCGGGAAGGTGGCGAGCCGCGATCAAGGCAGGCACGAGGTGGGATGTATACGGGACGGAGGATCAGTGAAGGCCATGCGAGTAAGAGGGCACTGGGGTGGGCATGGGGGAAGACGGGGAGGCTCGAGCGATGAAGGAATCGCAGGATGCTGGGGTGCAGCGGCTATGGCGGCGGACGAGCGAAAGGAACAAAAACGAACAATGCGCGGACGATTAGGTTTCGCGGCCGAAGAATGACGAGCCGAGATGAAGGCAGACCGAAGCGGGTGGATGAAGAGAGGCAGCGGCGCCAAATGAGGCCTTGGAGGGTCCAGCGTGGGTGCAGATAGTGAAAATGCGGATGGCGGGTCGGATGGATGCAAACGGAAAGAGCTGGCGGATGAATGCGATGAACGAGACAGTGTGAGAAGGCGCCGAGACGAATGGTCGGGTGAGCCGCAGAGGGCAGCGGATGGTTGTGGATGGCAAGAAGGATGGCGAGCAGGATGAGGTGCTGCCATCACCCTCAAGGCCTTGGTCCGATCCCAATTCACACTTTTTGCTAGCCGGCAAGAATCACACGCCACAGTCGTGAATGATTCACACTTTCGCACGCTTCGGAAGGCCCGCTGCTGGGCTTGTCGGCTGTCTTCCGGGCGAGCAAGCAACAGCAACAGCAGCAGCAGCGACGGCGGCAGTATCGCCGAGAGGGCAGATGGGCAGCTGCAGCAGCGACCCTGAGCTCTTTCGGCTGCACCGCACCGCACCGCGCACACGCTTGCCTTGCATCGCTGCAGGCTGTTGGCAGCGCCATAGAAAAAAAGGGCTCGACGCGTCTGGCTCGCTCGCCTGTCTGCTCCACTGCCTCGGCTGGAGGGCGCGTAGCTGTCAAGCCGTCCGGGCTTTTTTGAAACACACACGGTCAGGGCCTCTCTCTGCCCCTTCTGCCTGCTCGCCTATGCAGCCCCACGTCTGCACCACACGAAATCCCCCTCGCTCGGACTTCGCGTCGAAATGGCGAACTTTCGACGCACGCGCGAAGGCCACTTTTGGCTGCTCTAACATTTCTTTTCTAGCGAGGCTTAACATCTTGCTTAAAATAGCGCACCTCCACAGCCGGCGAGGAATGGAAATCGAGGCGCTGTGACAGGCCCGAATGCATGCATTCGCCCACTCACTCGCTCGCTCGTTTGCAGCCCAGCCTCGCCCCGCACGGCAACGGACTCCTCCTTCATCGTGCTAACCACACTCCCACCATCACCACCGTGCTACTGCTGGCCACTGGCGTCTCCCACTCGCTGCGACGCCCTGCAAGCCAGTCATGGCGCGCATCCGCCATCGCAAGGATGCCTGGGCCGTCTTTGCCTTTCTCATCGTCGTCCAGATCATCTGTCTGCGCGGCAGCCAACGCCTTCAGCACAGCATAGGTCCACAGTCGGTCCCACAACCCGCACAGCCATGGACCAAGCGAAGCGAGCCGCCATTGCTGCAGTCCAACAGGCACACAACTACATCAACTTTGCAATCTCCAGCACCGACATCCAAGCCTACTCCCGACCCGGACCACCCCACCACGCCTGCATGCCAGCCCATCCCTCTCGATCATTCCCCCAAACACATCTGCAACCATGTCATCCAGCACTGCTCATCCTCCGGTCATTTCGACTATCTGCGCTTCTACTACTGCGCCGGCGTCGCACGTCACGACACTGATCACGACGACCCCTCCCATCCATCGCCTCCTTCCACCAACCCCAGTCCACGCATCGGCATCTCGGCGCTTCGCTTCCTCCGCCTGCTCTGCATCCTCCTCTGGATGCTCTTCCTCTTCAGCTGGGTCGGCGTCGTCGCCAGCGACTTCTTCTGCCCCAACCTCAGCACCATCGCTTCGCGACTCGGCCTCAACGAGAGCACCGCCGGCGTCACCTTCCTCGCCTTTGGCAACGGTTCGCCCGACGTATTCTCCACCTTTGGCGCCATGAAGTCCGACTCGGGCTCGCTCGCCATCGGCGAACTCATCGGAGCCGCCTCGTTCATCGTTTCCGTCATCTCGGGCTCCATGATGCTCATCGCACCCTTCAAGGTCAAGCCCTGGCCCTTCTGCCGCGACGTCGGCTTCTTCACCGTAGCCGTCGCCCTGACCTTAACCTTCCTCTTCGATGGCAAGCTCAGACGCGTAGAGACCATCGCGCTCATCGCCCTCTACCTCCTCTACGCCACCACCGTCATCGTCGGCGCCTGGTGGCAGGAACGCACACGCAGGCAAAAACGCAGACTCGCAGCCGCAAGGGAAGAGTTCGACTCCCAGCTCGACCACACTTCCGTCCGCAGCCGTGCTAGCAGCCTCTCGGCCCAAAGCACAATACACGAACACGACCGCAGTCGCCTTCTCGCTCCCCCCTCTCTCGACTCGTCCCACCGCATGCCCAGCCCGTCCGAGTACGACCCCGACTTTGATCCCTTCGAAAACTGGGCCAGCCAACGCGCCGCCCGCAGCGGCGCCTCTTCCCCGGATGCTTCCCGTCCTGGAAGTCGCGTGCCTTCCATCCACACTCCGGGATCAACCGTCTCGCGCTCGGCTACCAAGCCTTCGCTCAGCATCCGTCCCAACCTCGTCCCACGCCACTCGCTCCTCTCGGCAATCGAGTTCCGCGACGTCGTTCAGAGCCTCCGCCGCGAAGCAAACGCAGATCGATCCCAAGAGATCTTCCAGAGCTGGGACCCGGAGCGCTTCCTCGCCGCTCACCATCACCACCACCACCACCACCACCAT